AGGGGGATGCTGACGGCGGTTCAGCCTGAAAGTGACCCCCTGTGCTCTGAGAAAGAACTGACCAACCTAACTCGGAGCATCTTCCTGCGGGACGGGCAGAGGGTGGGTAATCGCACCTTAGCAAGCAGCTCTTAGGGTCCAAGTTCAGGTCCAGCTGCCAGGGACACAGGAAAGTGCTTGTTCTGCTCCCAAGTTGCTGGCTGTGTTGCTAGGGGAGGGATGGGAAGACACCTGACCAGCAAAGTCTGTTCTATGGGGATTCACAGGCAGAGTACCTCTCAGAGGGACAGTGAGATCAGAATGAGGGAGGGAGGGTGGGGGGCGAGAGGAGGAGTGACTGGATGAATGATCTTGGGTGCATCCCAGGAGGCCTGCATGGAAGTGGCAGGTCACACACAGAAGGGCAGGGTCTGGAGAAGGATGTGAGCAGTAGGGTTGGGGCACAGAGGAGCTAGCTGGAGAGGGCACAGCTAAGGAGCCTGGGCCTTCATCCCTTGGCAAAACGGAGTATGTGGGCATTTGAGCAGAGGTCCATGGATAAGAGGAGGCTGGTGACAGACTGAAGGGCAGAGCTGAACAATGAAGGGGACCCTGGTCCCCAAATGGTGAACTGTGGCCAGGCTGAGTCCCAGGTCTCAGCTCAGGGTCAGGGGTCTTTGCAAGGAGTAAATCCATGTGGGACACACAGATGAAGCTCAACATCAGAGATGCAAATGAAACCACTCAATGTGACATTCCTCAAAGTAGCAAAAAGAATAGATGGCATTAACTCATCTTGTGCTTTCTGAAGGATGAACTCTAGATGGCAGTTACCCATCTAGATCCATGAAAAGGGCTCCTCGGCTTCCACTGCCCCCCACACCCCCACCTGCCCCCTGGACAGGAGCTCTGCTGGTGGGGCATGTCGTCCAAGGAAGGAAAACACTCATACATGCAAAGTCGCTTAGGCTGTGGTTCTCAAGCTTGTGGCCTTGGGGGTTCTCAGGCTTTTCTGACCCCACACATCTTCACTGTCCCCACTCCCACTGGGAATAAAACTCAGGCACAGTGAGCATCTGAGAGGAACAAAGTAACAATCCACATCTCAGCAACACAGCAGACACTGAACTATCCATGGACTTAAAAATCCTACAGGAATTCTGCAACTATATAAATACAAGAATAGCAGCAACTGGAATCTAGGACCACATCGAAGCCACACATCCACCCACGGTGGAGCCCTGGCCTGCCTCAAAGCTCATGTGAAGGCCAGAACTCAGCACAGAGCAGCTATGCGGAGGAGCTTCCAGGCTGCCCCTGGTGTAGGAAAAATCAGGTGGTCGGAGAGCAGAGGCTTGAGCTCCGGGGCACCTCCCCAGGCGGGGGCGCTCACACGTCTGCCCCAGCCGCTGACATGAGGAGCCTGCGGTTCCTGCGCGGTGGGGAGGTGCCAGCATAGGGCCGAGGGTGGAGGAGGCAGGACTGGACAGGAGATCCCCTTCACCGGGCAGTAGGTGTGAGCAAGGGGCCGGTTAGGGGAGCCCAAAGTGCACATGGCACCTGCCCTCTCCCTGGTGAGGATCATTTGCCATCCTCCACGCCGAATCTCAACCCTTGCACACAAGGCCCATCTCTCCCGCTCTCCCTGGGACACGCTGGCCTGCAGGGCCCCTCACCCACCCCCACCGAGCTCCCTGTGGTCAGTTGCCTTGCTCCACTCATGCCAGCCTCTGGCTGGATCTGCACCAGCTGGTGCGCCCCGGGAAATGCTGCATGAGTTGCACTCAGACCCAGCCCAGCCTCAGCAGCTCGGGAAGCAAGCTCTGGAAGAGGCAGCTTCCTACTGCTCAGCCATGAAGGGCTGGGTGGGAAGGCGGCGTCCGGCAGCAAACAGCCACAGCAATGGACAGTGGCAGCAATGGACAGTGGCAGTAGCGGCCAGGGCATACACAAGGTGCCGGCACTTCTTGAAGCACTGGACAAATAACTCACTTAATCTTTGCACTTAATCTTTGCACCCTTAGCATCCTCATTTTACAGGTGAGAAAGCAGAGGCTCAGAGCAGGACGGGTCCTACGGAGAGTAAGTGGTGGGGCTGGGGTCCCTCCCCTGGTCTCTCAGCACAGGCCACACTGAGGGGGTCACTAACAGGGGCATCTCACCCTGCCCTCTCCCTGCTAGCCTACATCATCTCACCCTCCTCCCCCACCCCTCCCGAGACTGTTAGCCTCACCAGGAAGAGGACAGAGCTAGAATGTCTGTACTACGGGTGGCGGCGGGACTGCAGACCCTGCCACCCACACCCTCATCTCAGCGGGCTGGCTGAGGTTCAGGGCAGGAAGCATCTGGCCAAGACCACCAGCAGCCGGAGAACAGGAGCCCACATCCCTGCACGGCCAGCCTCCAAGGACAGTGACCCCAGGGGGCCAAACTGGAGGAAGGACTGGAGAGATGGAGGGGGCAAAGGGGAGGCCCAGGCAGGGGGCAGGCGGCAGGGGCTTCTGCCCTCCCATCCTCCGGGCCCCAGCTGCCAGGGCCATCGTGCTGAACCCCTGCTTCCCCAGGCCTTGCTCTGCCTGCCTGTCTTGCGCTGCTGCTCTGGGTGTGCTTCTAACATTCAGATCAAACCTTCACAGAAAAGCGACTCAGCAGGAGCCCAGTGAGTTGCTCCATCAGCTGCAAAGGCTGTGGCTTCTGA